GCTTAGCTCATAGCCCTTGAAGGCTTAAGACACCAGGATAAGACATTTTCCAGGATGTCAACTATGCAGAGAAAATCTCAGGTCCCTAAAGTTAAGGCCACCTTGCTTAACAGCCTTCTCTGACTGGAACGACCCCAAGAGAACAGAGTCACACCATGCAAACCAACCTGTCCCTCAGATCAAGAACCTTCAGCTCAACTGAAGAAGCCATGATTTAGATCAGGATCAGCAGAACCCCAGCCCCTAGCACCCCATGTGCAAGAATGACCCAGTTCTTCAGACCTGCAGCCACTGTCCTTTCTCTACTGGAAGACTGTGCCCTTGCTGCTCCTACTGTCCTTTGTCAGAGGATCCATTTGATGTTTGTCAGTGCCTCAAGCTAACACCCTAATCATTTTCTCTCACTCATGACTAAAGCCCTTGCCCGGACATTCATGCCATTGTTTTAGTTCTATTTCCATCATCACCATAGCAAGGACCCACACCAGCAGGTACCAGGGGGTGGAGCGAACAGCCCTGCAAAGGGAAGGGTCCAGAAAGAAGAAACATGCTGAGATCCAAGGTAAAACTGCAGGCAAATGTGACCATAGGATCCTAATGTATGTGGAGTACATTAATAAAGGTCCTCGACTACACATATACTAGACCATGGGATATTCAACACAAAGAGAAGATATTAAAGGGAGAAATAAGAAAAAAATTTCTTTATCTCCTCACAGCTTGCGGGTAGGGCTGCTGCCTGTCATCTCATGCTGTCCCGTTATCTCTAAAGCAAGTCCACGCACTGAGCATTGAAAACAGAAGCATATTTGAATGATGAGGAGACTCTTAGAGAGCACAGCAAGATGGGCCATGGAGGACCCTGGCCCTTCCCTGTCCTCTGGGAGGACACAGCTGCAGGTGGAGTCAGGAGCCAGCCAGGCCCAGGTAATGGGGCCTCTGAAACACTCGTGGTCCCCAGAGGAGCAAAGGCCCAGTTCAGCTAGGTAGGAATACAGCTGAACCCTGTGTGGGAACCCACCCTGTGTACACTGGACCTAATCATTGGGCTCTCATCTGCACCTTTTCACCTGCCCTTTATTAAATAATACACCAGAAAGTACAGGGTCTCCCCAAGTTCTGTGAGCCAGGCTAACAGATGCCTGAGCCTCGGATGGAGAAACAGATTGATGGCTTTCAGGTCAGAAGGGCAGGTGACAATGGGGGCTTCAGATCAGCCTGCCAGGCTGGGCCGATGTTGAGGCCCTGAGCCCTCAGCCTGCTGGACCCGGGTCACATCCTTCACAGCTCAGTCCACCTCCAATTCTCCATTGAGCTGGGGCTGAGGTGAGGTGAATGGAACTGAGGAGGGTCTCTGCGGGTGTGGGAGACGTGGCTACCATTGGGAGCCCTGCACACTTGCACATGGTTTTAGAGGAGAAAGAAAATGAACCAGAAAGACATCAGGCTAAAGGAATAGCTAACTCACAGCCTATAAGGCAGGTACTAGCCTGCCTGGGGTGTTCAATAATTTGGGATTTGGTGTGGCAAAAATTGGGGTAGGATCCACACACTAGGCCTCATAGATGCCTCGGCAGAAAAATACACTGACTGTGGAGCTGCAGGCCTGTAAGCCCAGCTCTCTGGGATCCTGAGGCTGGAAGATATCAAGTTGGAGCCCAGCATGGGCCACTTGAGGAAGTAATGTGACTCTGGCTCAAAATAAAATTTTAGAAAGATGCTTTGGGATGGAGCTCAGTGAGAAGATGCTGGAGTCAGTCCCCAGGACCACACACACAGAGACACAGATTGTCTTGATTTCATGTACATTTGCTTCATTTAATGTAGATTTAATATATGGGTAAGAACGTCAAAAGCAAGGAATCCAAAAAAGAAAGTTCAAAAAATATCAGCCCCTCCAAATTCAAAGACCCAATCCAAAAATGGGCAGCTGAGATGAATACACACTTCTCAGACAAGGAGATACAAATGGAAAATAAATATATGAGAAAATGTTCAACATCATTAGTCATTTGAGAAATACAAATTAAAACAACACTGAGATTCCACCTTACCCCAGTAAGAATGGCTAGCATTAAGAAATCAACCAATAACAAATGCTGGCGAGGCTGTGGAAAAATAGGAACCCTTCTCCACAGCTGGTGGGAATGCAGACTGGTGAAACTACTGTGGAAATCAGTTTGGAGATTCCTCAGAAAACTAGGCCTAGAGGTCCCATTCGACCCAGCTATCCCCCTGCTGGGTATTTTCCCAGAAGATCTAAAAACATCATATCACAGGGATGTATGTACACCTATGTTCATAGCAGCACAATTTGTAATTGCTAAAATGTGGAAGCAACCCAAATGTCCATCCACTGAGGATTAGATAAGAAAATTGTGGTACTCTTATAGAATGGAATATTACTCAGCTGTAAAGAAAGATAAACTCAAGGCTTTTATAGGTAAATGGTCACAACTAGAGACCATACTCATAAGTGAAATAAATCAACATACATGTGCAAGCACCGCATTGTTTCTCTAGTGTAAAGCCTGAAAGAGTTCATTTAAACTAAGAGATATGATAGACATTGTGAATTGATAGGAAAGCACTCAAAGGTAAAGGGTAACTGGGATATGGGAAAAAAGAAGGGAAAGAAGGAGAAAGTTTTTATGTATGTATATACAGGATAGTTAACATGGCTGTTCTACTGTCTTGTATTTCTTTGCTGAAAGAAACTGTCAATGAGTCCTTGATTGATCAGCTTTGTATGTCTATATCTGTTTTCATGAGAAACCACTTTGAAGATATCAATATGTAATACAACAAGCATTGTTAATTCCCTACCACTCTGTTTGTACCTCTGTACTGTCTGTACTGATCCTTTGCTATTTTGTAAAATGTTGTCTGTCTGTTAGTATTTTTCACCTTTTATTTTTAAAATAAAAAAAAATTTAAAAGAAGAAAGTTCATGAGCCAAGAGGGTAAGGGTAGCAAAGAGCAGTGTATTGGAGGCTTCAGAACTGAGAGATAGAGAGGTTGAGAGACCGGACAGATGCGGTCACCTCTGTCGTGGCCCGATCCCACACTCCTCTCCTACTTCATGGCCCAGAGCCCTGCTCCCTGTACCATGATCTGATTAGAAGCCGGACAGGCAGGGGCACTGTGCCAAGGACTCTAATCTTTCCTTTCCCTCTTCAGGGTCTAATGTTCCAGTGGCCCCAGGGCAGGCCAGCCCCCATCCTGATCCTTATAAGACCTACAAAGACTCTGAGAGCCAGCAGCCCACAGATCACAGCCCCACACAGGACAGCTGAGCCCTGAGCCCCAGGAGCTGAAGCCAGGTGAACAACCCTGTGTTCTCCCAGCACAAGGCTTGCTCTGTGCTTCCTGACCTTTGAGTTCCTGCCTCTTTCTGTCTCTGTCCCGTGGGTGTGTGTCTCCCTCTCCACCTTAGAGCATCACTTCGACTCAGTGTATAGCAAGGGCTTTGAGATCCTCTGCCTCCGGAGCACTGGGATTACAGGTGGTGCCACCATGCCCAGTCCCAGTGAGGTTTTAAGAGCACAGACTCTAATGCCCTCTCCACTGGTTACTCAGCCTGTCTGTGTCTGCACCCTCCGTGGAATGGGGATCATATCAGGACCTGGCCCCGGAGATGGCTGTGAAACTGAGTCACCACATGTCTCGTGTTAGTGCGATGCCTGCCACAGGGCTGCGCCTGAAACTGCGCTGAGAGCACCTTGATTTCCATCTCAGTCTCCTTCAGCTTCATGACCTGAGACTTCTGTGTCTGGTCCCCACCTTCCCTGATGCAGGTTTCAGTCTCAGTCTTGGTGTCTCTGTCTCTGTCCCTAATGGCCCCTCATTCCTCAGTCTCCCTGCCTCCTCTGTCCTCACAGGCAGAGCTCACACTGTCTTCTCCCAGGACCTGCACGATGAATGGGCCTTTTGGTTGTCCCTATGGGGTGGCTGACAGCAGTTGGCACAGGGTGTAAAACACCTTGCAGTACACAGTGTAGGGCCCCGCACTAAGGCTCACCAGCCACCAGCCATCAACAGGCAGAGGGATGGCTCTGTGGCACTGAGGACCTGGGAGTGTCCTGGGTCCATCCCCAGCAGAACGTGGATAAATATCAGCAAAGCAGAGGGTGAGAAACTTTGCCCTATGTTACTGTTCCTCAGGTAGGGTCTCGGAATCCAGACTGGACGGGCTCCTTTCCAGCTGCTCCTGGAATGGTGGGGGAGGCCCCAGACTCATAGGGTCTCTTCCTCTGCAGGTGCTGACATGGGGACCACAGAAGAAGCCCTCTGGCTCTGTTTCCTGGGATGCATCATCCACACAGCCACAGGTATCTGAGTTCAGGGTGCGTGCTAGCCTGAGTGCACCCAAAATGTGTAATTCTGCTCCCCACAGGCCCCCTGGGGGTTTTCATGGCACCAGGGTGGAAACAGCTTATGAAGAAGTGGGGCAGCGACTGGATCCAGAGCCCTGCTCTGCTATTTCTTATCTGGGCAAAGTCCCAGATAAGGCCTCTATGCCTCAGTTTCACCACCTCCAATGGTAATGTGAAAGCAGATTAGATACTACATTATAGAGGCAGGTCATCCCCGGACTCTGGCCCAAAGGCAAGTGTCCAGATGTTAGCTGTAGTTAGCAGAGGGACAGCACTGTGTATGGGCCTCCTTCCGCAGCTGGGAGAGAAGTGCAGCAGCTGCTTCCTTCCCTCTGGAGGTCAGCGCTCCTGAGCCCCTGAAGAAGGTGACCCTGCAGAGAGCTAGGGTCTAGGCAGGGTATGAAGTGATCCCTGAGGTACTGTTCCCTGTGCTCCACTACCCAATCTGTGTGTCCGCCACACGCAATCCCAGGAGCAGTTGCCTCTGTCCTCTGCCTTGCACAGAGGCTCCTCCTGGGGACTGTCTTTTGTGTGGTGACACTGGGTCTATGCCACTGGGGTGGTAGAGCACAGTATGAAGCTTCAGGCTCAGAAGAGGTGTCTGGCCTTGGAACTCTCTTGCTTGAGCCCCACAGGCAGAGCCTCAGACCTTCCCCTCCTTGGCAGTCCTGATATAACCTGAGCCTTCCCAAACCTGACCCATCTGAGCCCTACCGAAGTGACTACCAGATCCATTACAGGATCCCATCCACCCACCCACTCGATCTACTCTGTGCTCATCCTGCCCACAGAAGCAGAGATTCTTCCCAAAGGAACCAGAAATCACTTCCCAGATGTACCTCTCATGATCAGAAAACGCATCGCTGATGGCTTTCCTTGCAATCCACACTCCCAGCCCTGGATGGCTGCACTCTTTGAAAATTATGAGCACTACTGTTCTGGAGTTCTAGTGCATCCGCAGTGGGTGCTGTCAGCTGCACACTGCTGGAAAACGTGAGCAAGTTCAGTAAGGGTGACTGTGGGGAAGTGGGGCAGTGCACTGAACTGGGATGGGTGGGCTGTGGCTTTTCTTGGGTGGGGCACTGTAGGCAGGCTTAGGGTCAGACATTGCACTACACTGAGGGGCAGGGCCCAGGCTGGGTTTGAGCAGAAAGTGTCCAGTCTTGGCCCAGGATGCGGTCCAAACAATGGTCCAGGGAGTGAGCCCCAGTCCAAGAGGCTGGACTTGGCCAGTGCTGAGACTTTAAAACAGTAGACCTGGAGCAAGTCTGGAGCTACATTCAGAGGGGAGGCCTGGCTGGAAGATCCATTTCTCCAGGCTGGAGGAACATTCACATCTCTTTGCTGGGTCTGAACAGTCCCCCATGTGGGAAAGGAAACCAGGCAGGACCCTGGCGTTGACCTCAGTACGAAAGTTCGGAGGAGAAGTTGGCTTGAGAGAGGCGGGCTTGGATCTCAGTTCAGCCTCTAGGAGCCAGGTGCTGTGCACAAGGAATTTCTTGTCACAGGATGTAAGGGGCCTGGGGCAAGACGAGAGAAACAGGTGAAGACAGAGCCAGGTGGATGGGGTCCGAGGTATGCACTTGGCTGCAGGGCAGAGTGTTGGGAGAGAAAGGGCAAAAGCTTGCCCATCGGGAGAAATATTTCAATGTCTTTTTTTTTTTAAGAGAGTACTAAATGAGAAACAAACAAAAAAGAAATAGAACAGTAGCAGCATAGCAGTATCACAAACATAAACAAATCAAAGCAAGAACATTCAAAGTGATAGTCTTAAGACAAAATAATACAAAAGTCTTATTTTAAAAAAACTAATACAATGCAAACGTCTGTGATGAACAAAATATCCACACTTGAAATAAAGAGGATCCTGCCAGTGTGGGGCAAGGGTAAGGTGCACCTCAAATGCTGTCTTCCTTTCAATTTCTGATATGTTCTGCATTTTGGACTTCTTGAATTAATTTTGAATTTAAAAATATTATACTGAACCACAACATTAGTGCCTCCCTCAATTAACACATTAGACAAAGTTTCTCTTGCCCCAACCCTAATGATCAGGTTCTGGGGCTATTTAGGGGTGGGAACTGGGATGGGACCTGGACGCTGTCCAAGTGGGGATGAGGCTGGCACCAGGGATGGGTCTGGGTGGGGTGGAGGGTGGGAATGGCAATGGCGATGGGACTGAGGTTGAGCATGAGCTGGGATGAGGCTACGACTGGATTTGGCCTGCATCGGAGTTTGAGCTTCTAGAGAGAGGATGTACTTACAATGGTACTGACTGTCCTATTGCCCTCAGATCCTACACTATTGTGCTGGGCCTCCACGGACTTTATGATTGGTTTGAACCAGGCAGCCAGATTGTCCAGTCCTTTTTCTCCGTGCAGCACCCAGACTATGTCAAACCTTCAAGCGGTAATGACCTCATGCTCATCAAGTTGAACACACCAGTTGTGGAATCAGACACCATCAAGACCATCCCCATCGCGTCCCGATGTCCGACATCTGGAACCAGGTGCCGGACCTCTGGCTGGGGTCAGCTGTTGAATGGTGAGTTTTAGTTTTCCTGTCTCTGGACTCATGGATACCTGTGATGTCTCTGTGAAGGAGTGTTTTTGACCCTGTGACCTTTCTTTCAGGCTACGACTACCCTTATTATCTGCAGTGTGCAATTATTCCAGTGGTTTCAGAGGAGGATTGCAGATTCGAGCTTAAGCCATCCTACCATGACAGTATGTTCTGTGCTGGTGCTGAGGGCCGCATGGACACTTGCCGAGTAAGAAACTGGGACAGGGAGGCAGGGGTTTGCAATGGAGACAGGGTGTAAAACCACCGGGGACCCAAGGTCATGCAGGAATAATGGAGACTCAGAGGGCCATGGGGAGACACAGCTGAAAAGAGAAACAGAAGAAACTGGAAGGGTGGAAAGAAAACAAGGAGACACAGGGTAAATCAGCCACAGAGACAGACAAGCAGAGCCAGAGAGAAGTAAGCAGCTGGCAGAGAGACGCAGAGTCATGACGTTGAGAGGAGGGATGGAAAGACACCCGGGAGGGACATCGGGAGGGTGGGGGAGATGGATCACAGCTGTAAGAACAGACTGATTGACTACATTCAGGATCTGCAGCCCCACTGCCTCCCACACCTCCATCCTCAACTCCAGCAGCTCCCTAGCCCCCAAGTCCATGCCCAGTCTCGCCCTCCAATTCACCCTCAGCCAAGACTGGAAAAGGAGATGCAGGCGGGGGTGGAGCTCCTCAGGGGAACTTTCCAAAGGGTGGGAGCAAGAGCTGGTGTTTGAGAGGCAGCACTGTCCCTGCCTGCATACAAGCTATGGTTTGAGGGCTTGGTGTTTTAATGGCAGATCCCTCCATATTCACCCTTGGGTCTCTGTGTTTTCACTGTCCTGGGGCCTCATCAGAGCCTCAGTTTGTCTCCCCATCACCTCTGCCTACTGCACCACATTTGTCTCTGTGGCCTGCTGTCTCTGTCTCCCCTGCTTGCGTCTCCAGCTCTCACTGCCGCCCTCCAGCTTCTACAGTGTGTGTTTCTGCCCTGCTGTCTAGCTCTGCCTTTGCCTCTTTGTGCTTCTGGCTTAATGTGTGCATCTCCCTCCATTCCCCTCTCCACCCACCCTAACTTGCTATTCTCTTCTCTCAAAAGGCAGACTCTGGAGGCCCTGTGGTCTGCGGTGGGTTCCTGCAGGGCCTTGTGTCCTGGGGATTCCAACCCTGTGGCCAACCTGGAATTCCCAGTGCCTACACCAACCTCTGCAAATTCAAAGACTGGATAAATGAAATCATCCAGACCAGATAACCACGGAAGATGTTGGGACCAAGTAGCCAACACTGACCTCCGAGCCTGTCCTTAGGCTCCATCTATCATAAACAGCTTTTGGACTTCACTGAATCTGTTTTTCAAATATATTGACATGAAATGTGCATCCTCTCTTGTTTAATTTTATTAAGACTGAACGTGGAGTTTTCAAGTGTCAAATGGTGTTACTGGTTTTAAGATGTTATGACATCCTTGCGTTCCTGGGACACCTGCTACATGGTAGGGATACCAGTGTACTTCCCCTCATTACCATGGTGAACAACTGCCCAGGAACAAAGTTCTGTGACTCAAGTTGTGAAATCCAGAATGGCTGCAATAATGCTTCAGGGACCAGGGCAGATAGAATATATGCTTCTCACTCCCAAACTCACCTGAATAACTAAGAATCTAGGTTAGCACAGCTGGCAGGTAGTTATAGTGGTTGAGGAAGCTGAAGGTAACACAGGGGTACACATGACCTGAAGACATAAGCTGTGTCAGATCCGAGGAATGGAGCCATGAGGAAAAGGAAGAGTGACAGGACAAGCTGTGCTAGAGGGAGCAGAACTGATGGAAAATTAGAACCAAAAGCTATAAGAAAAAGAACTGTCCTCACAAAGATGTGTTAGGCAATTAAAAACAGACCAGGGACATGCAGTATACAAAACGAACCATTTGGGAGTAGTGAATATAAAAATATTTCCCAAGAATTATTTTTAAAAAGTACCATGACTTAGAAAGAACACAGCTAAGACACTAATTGCTGGGGTGATGATAGAGGAGAGACAGTAGACAGTAGGGACAAGATGGGGAAGCAAAGGAGGGTCAGGGGAGAGAAAGGGGAAAAAGGTGAAAAATTACACACACACACACACACACACACACACACACACACACATATGCCAAGTCCACAAATCAAATGCAATTATTTCTATTGCAAGCATATACCAATACAAAATTAGTGAGCTGGAAACGTGTTTGTGAAAGAGGCAGATGTCAAAGATTTAAAACTATGCAAAATAAAAAGTGTAAGATCTCCTAGCACAAATGAATACCGGGGATATAGATCAGTGCCACAAGTGCCTACCTGGCAAGAACAAGGTCCTGCATTCAATTCCCGGTACACGTACCAAAAAAAAGATAAAGGAATATACATTAGAATGGCACACATTCACAGTTGCACAGGCATCCATGCACATGCATGTGCACACTTGCACCTCAACTTCAGCGATGCCAAACAGCAGAATCCACGTGCTTGGCTGTGGGAAATGGAGCTGGGACATCATGTTGGCCTTGCTTTGAGTAAGGAAGATAATACATTTGGAGATTCTGAAGCAAACACTGCCCATACTTTCCTTTCTCCTCCCTTTGCTCCTCAGGAAGCCACAGAGCAGGATGAGCTGTGACAGGATGCTCATTCCTGGGCCTGTGGGGACAGAGATGTGAGACAAAATTTCGGCTGCAGGTTGGAGGGGAAAGCAGGAGGAACATTCCAGTCACGTTTGAAAAGTGGAGGCCAAGGACAGAGTAGGGGAACCAGCTACTGAAGGAGGCAGAGGGAGAGAGAGACAGATACAGGCACCAACAGACATGTAGATGCCCTGTACAGGGTATGGCCGAGCTCAGCAAAGAGGAACAGAGAGGGGAAGCAACTGAGGCAGGGAGAGTGAGGATTGAGGCAGAGCTAAGGGAGGGAGGCTGAGGCCTTAGGTCGGGGTGGGACACACGGGGCACGAGAGTTGCAGACCTCACCTCCGGTGGGCTTGGGCATCCTCAGGAAGATGTCTAGCCTGGCTTTCCCACACTGGGAACTGGGACACACTGGCAGAGTGCTATAGTGAATCAGGCTGCCATCCAGACTCCCCGGGGTAAGTATTTTAAGCCATGCCAGGGCTTAAAATGTGCCCCATTCTGGAGCAGTCAGATAGAGGAGAAGCCCTGCCTCTCCTTCTTCTCCCCTGATGCCCAAGAACATCATGTCCAACTGCTGTCCTGCCATCCCCACTTGTTTCCCTTTGCTCCACCTTGATCCCTTCTGGATGGACTCAGACAGCCTGCCTCTGTGTCCTGCTGTCAACTCTAAGGATACTTCATAGCTGTTCTCTGGGTCAGCCGAGCACGAGGTGCCACTTGGTTCTCACCCACAGTACCACTCTCCCACTCCCACCTCCCCAAATGCTGCTGCCACCTCTGCAGAAGTAGCCAGGAAACCACCTCTCAGGTGGGAGGGATCAGGAGGGCTCAGGCCAGTTGTACACCGTCCTCAATAATTTGAGGACACAGCAAGCCCTCCTCCATGTTGAACAGTATTGGCCTGCCCATACTTGTGGAGACACGGCAGCTGTCAATCCATCTTCAGCATCTCCCTGTGGTGTACCCTGGAACTTCACCATGAAAGCTGCAATGATTGTGCATGCCCTGCACCAGTGCAGCAACTATCTACTCTGATCATATCAGGCTTGATATTAAACTTAGCAGGAAAACTGAATTGGGACCAGTCAGTATTCTCAGATCAGGGACTTGAATGTGGACCAGTTTGGATCAATCAACAAGCCCAAATTTGGGCCAATCACCCACCTCAATTTGGACAAATTGGCAGGCTTGAATTCACAGCAATCAGCTGGATCTAATCTGGACCAATCATAACCCTCAATTTCAATGAATCAGCAGACCCAAATTTGGACAAGCTGTTGCAGCTATTTAAGTAGCACGGGCCTCTCACTTCTGAGGTTCATTTGGAGGGCTCCTTTTTCTACCTAGAACCTGTCATGCTGCAGGACAGGTCTTCGTCACATAAAGCCTTCCCTGGCCATCCTGTCAATGCACTCAGGATTCTTACCCCAACAACTGTGGACATAGGGCTTGCTTTAAAAATGCTATCAATGCTTGTGTCTATTAGCCCAGAAAAGCTACAAGACCAGCAGCAGTCAAGGAAGAGCAATGACAGAGATAAGGGACAGAGATCGGGTGACAGAGATTGGTGACCAGGAGAGGTGGCTGGCATTGACCAGCAGTGGCCAGCATTGGCCATAACCAGAGGGGCTCTGGACATTGATTAGCAGCAGTAGCAACCAACAGGATCAGGTACAGAGCTGTAACTCTAAGTGCTGACAGGGTCATGGCCAGCAGAGCAGAACATTTCCAAGACAGAGTGTCTATGTAAATCGAGCCAAAGCACTCTCAACTGATTGGTGAAGCCATGACCCAAAGATGAGAATTCCACAGGCTCCAGACCCCTCCCTGACAGCTGTCTCTGCCCTTCTGAAGTCCCTGGAATTCAAGTTTCCCTCCAGCCCTCAGAGGGCTGGTCACCCTGCACACTCCCTGCACGCATCTGCTCCTTGCTGTGCTCCCTGTGGCTCACGCAGCCTGCACTGTCCGTCCAGCTGGGCTCTCACTCTCTCTGGTGGGTGTTACCGTGCAGTGGCCTGTGCAGCTTTTCCTTCTCGCTCTGGACTTCATGGGCAGAGCACGGAGTGAACTCTCCTCCTCTGCACAACTCAGATCTGCAGCCTAGGACGCTCCCTCTATTGTGTTTACATGCATTCATTCGTTCACTGAACCTCACCAATAGCTCATTTATTCCCTTCTCTCCCCATAATCTGCTCTTTTCTCTATCCCCAAAGACAGCCTTTCCAGTGTGTTTGATGGACATCTTTCCCCCGTCTGTGTGTTTCCTCCGTGAGAATTTGTGGGCATGCAGTTTTCCTCAGTATGTATTTCCCTGTTCAAGACTGGGGCATTGGGCACCTCATCCTATCCTGAAAAGGCCCTTTTTTATTTGTTTTGTTTTTTGTTTTTTGTTTTTTTTTTTCCAGTACCAGGGATAGAACTCACGACCTTGCGCTTGCTGGGCAAGCGCTGTGCCGCTGAGCTAAATCCCCAGCCCTGAAAAGGCCCTTTTTTATTTGTTTTGTTTTTTGTTTTTTGTTTTTTTTTTTCCAGTACCAGGGATAGAACTCACGACCTTGCGCTTGCTGGGCAAGCGCTGTGCCGCTGAGCTAAATCCCCAGCCCTGAAAAGGCCCTTTTTTAAATTTTTATTTTAATGAAAATAGTATCAAAAAAATAACAATAGCAAAACAAAGAAAACAAACGAAGAACATTAAAAATGATACAATTTTTGTTTCAAACCAAATGATGGGGATTAACAGTGATTGTTATATTACATATTGTTACCTCAAATTACCAGATGGAAGAATAGAAGATTAATCAAATCATTCAAGGGAATAAAATAATAATTTAAAATAATATTAGAGACAGTTCATAGTTTCACTAGACAGGATTGTAGGAATTCACCAATGGATGTTATAGTGAAAATTGTTGCCACATAAGCTGCCCAGATTACCAGATATAAGCATTCAAAACTGGTCTAAATAGAAAAAAAAAAAAACCTTTTAATCACTAACTGTTCTCCTCCAGACACCAGCAGTACAGTTCTGCCACCTATCCATATATATATATATATATATATATATATATAATGCCTTAGTACTTTCTTATTCTTTCCCTCATTCCGGTTGTTCCTTCCTTTGAGCAATTTCTTTCCCTTTCTTGTTATCTATTGTACATTTTATTTACTTTCTCATGTTCTTACACCAGGGAGACAATGTGGTGTTTACACATGTGGGTCTGAATTATTTCACTTATGAGTACAGTCTCTAGTGGCTTCCATTTACCTATAAAAGCCTTGAGTCTACCTTTTTTATAGCTGAGTAATACTCCATAGTATAGAAATACCACATCTTTTTTATCCATTCCTCAGCTGATGGGCATTTGGATTGTTTCCAAGATTTAGCTATGACAAATTCTGCTGCTATAAACAAGGGTGCACATATATTGCTGTGATATGGCATTTATAATTCTTCTAGAAATATACCCAGAAGGGGAATAGCTAGGTAAAGTGGGACTTCTAATCCTAGTTTTGTGAGGAATCTCCAAAAAGATTTCCACGGTGGTTTCACCAGTCAACACTCCCACCAGCAGCGGAGAAGTGTTCCT